TCATCATCATCATAATCATTGTTGTTGATAATTGAATGGAATTTTTATTGTTCAATTTAATGGTCATTAATTTAATTTGATGATGATGGTGATGATGATTTGTTTGAATCAATTACTTATTTTTTTATTGACGATAAATTTATTTTCATCTTTTTTTTCATTTCTCTTCTCTTCTCTCTTTCTAATATTATAGGCCAAAATAATCCGGCATCAATGATTGGTAAATCAAGAAGACCACGAACAGCATTCACTAGCCAACAATTGCTTGAATTAGAGAATCAATTCCGTATGAATAAATATCTATCAAGGCCTAAACGTTTTGAAGTGGCCACCAATCTATGTTTATCGGAAACACAGGTAATGCAACCAAGCATCCAATATTTTATTTTTTTTCAGTGTTTGATTCATTTCTCTATTTGCACATGAAATAAATTATGAGAATTGAGAATAATTTTTTTTTATTACCATCCATCCATTCATTGGATTATTTGATTTGATTTTACCATAATGATGCTTATGATGATGATGATGATAATTTCATTGGATCACCATATGTCATTTTATTAGATTTATTTATATAAAAAGAGAGAGAGAGACTTTTACAATTAAAGTCAAATGATAAGATTCCATTAATTTAATTGAAAATCACAGAAAATTTCACACACACACACACACACGAGATTCTTTTCCTTTTTTTTGGCTCTCTTCAGTTTATTAGAAGTTAAAATTAGTTGACTTGATTTAAAAAAAATGATGATGTGATTGGCGATTTTTTTTCTCTTTTGGCAAACTGACTTTTTTTGCATGATGCAAGGCACGTGTCTGCTGCACTTATTTATGCAGAGTGTCGTATTATCGACTTTATTATTTAATCACTTAATTTTAAATAAGTTTTTTTTCAAATAACTTTTAAAAGTTTTTTTTCGCGTGTGTTCGCGTGTGCAATTTTAACATAAACCAAACTTGACAATCAACTGAATTATTATTATTATTATTATTTACTTTCTGTTGAATAAATAGGTGAAAATTTGGTTCCAAAATCGTCGTATGAAATGGAAACGTAGTAAAAAAACTGCACAAGAAGCAAAACAAAATTTATCATCATCATCATCATCATCAAAATCATCATCAATGGCCAATAATAATAATAATAATAATAATAGTGGATCAGGCTGTACATCATCAGCAACAATAACCACAGCCATGAATCAGGATTCAAGTGATGGCCATATGTCAACCAGTGACAATGATTATGATTCAGATAATTCTAATACAGCTCATTATTCTGATGATGAAAATAATCATAATATTAATGGAAGAATAAAAAAATCATTATCGGCAAATGGTAGATCATCATCATCATCATCATCATCATCGTCATCATCATCATCAACATTGACCGTTGGTGATCGATCATCAACACCATTATCATTATTTAAATCATTAAAATCATCACATGAAAATCAAGTTATCATTGGACATCATCATCAACATCAACATCATCTTAATCATAATAATCATCATATAAATCCAATGATGACCAGATGGATTGAATGTGGACGTTTTACAAATAGACCATCATCTGATAATGAAACAACAATGGACATTGGTGTTGGTGGTAAAGCAATAATAACATCTTTAAGTGGAAAAACAATCGCCGCCACCACCACCGCGAACACCACCACCGCCAGCAGAAGCAGTAACAGCAGCAGCAGCGGTAATGGTATTATTGTTGGTGGTGGTGCTACTATTTCTTCTGTCGAACCATTTTATAGACAATTTGTAAGCTAAATTAGAAGCTATCAAATTATCATCATTCTATTCCATTTCATTATTGATTAATATGGAAACAATAATAAATTGCAATAATAAAAATACGTAAAAAACACGCGTACGAATAGGACAGAGTAATAAAATGATGATGATGATGATGATGAAAATTTTTCAATTTAATTGTGTGCTCATTTCGTTTCATTTCATTTCATTTTTTTTCTTAATTCAGTTTCGTTGTATTTTTTTTCTGTTCTCCTTGTTCGTTTGTAAATTATCCCAAAACAAAAATAAAACATTTTCGAAGAAAAAATTCAATTCAATTAATTTAAAAAATGAAAATGTAAAAGTCAAAATCAAATCAATCCGATGATCAACTAGATGATGATGGTCTACAAATGAGATCGTTCGTTTTTTTTTGTTTCTTCATCTTATAATAATAATAATAATAAACAAAATGATCAATTAATCATTTTTCAATTTTTTAATGGATAACAATCGATTGATTTCTTCTTCTTCTTTTTTTCTCTCTGATTCAATTCAATTGGTCATTGGTCATTAAATGATTGATATGTTTGTCCCATGTGTGTTTGTGTGTTGTCTTCATCACTTGGTTGGCGCGATCACGAATCAATTGATTTTGAACAAAGATCTCTTTTTTTATTTGTTGAAATGAATGATAAAAATAAAAAGAAAAGCAAATATTGATTCGAAATACGATCAATGATGATGATGTTCTGAAATTGAATCGATCAAAGATGATGGTTAAAAGAAGAAGAAGAAGCAAAAATTAATAGCCCCATCGTTAATAGATTTTCCATTGAAGTTTAGATAGATATCAGTTTTGTGAAGTAGTCTTCCAGCTCCAGAATTCTTTCATGATTATACAGTGGAAAGAAAAATCAAATTCATTCACATTCTGTTTTTTTTTTTTTGAAATTCTGAAATTTTTTCAAATTGAATAAATTGTTTTTTAAACAAGAATTTAGTTAACATTTAATTAAGAATTAGTTATTATTATTAATAAAGACGTAATGTTTTGGGATTGAAAATTAAGTGCATTTAATTTTATCATCATCATCATCATCATCATCATCAATGTGATCGTAATCATTACCAACCACTACTGTACTGTTATGTTTGAAATGAAATGGATGATGATTTCCACCATTGTTGTTGTTGATGATGAAAGCAATTGATAAAGGCAAAATGTTTGGAAAATTATTCTGTTCAATGATCAGAGAGGGAGAGAGAGAGGATATAAACGACGACAATTGAATTCAACTTGTGAAACGGTCGACCAACAATTTCTACAATATCCCTATGTGATATATACAGCTAAATTTAATTATGTTGATTGCTCTGATGTTGTTGTTGTTGTTGTTGTCGTTCGATTTTGTTTTCGATATATTTATGTGTTCATGGATCCAAGTGACAAACTCCGGAGGTTTTTTTTTCATTTTCTTACCCCTCTTTTTTTTCCTGTTATTGCTACAGATTCTTACGTCAATATAGTCACATTGAGAATTCAATCAAAAAACATCAATAACGACGACGATGTATGTTTTGCACAACAACAACAAATTTGAATCATCATTGAGCATTCCCATTTTTTTTTTTTTGCTGTATGTTTTGTTGTCATTGTCGTTATATATTTGTTGTATGGGCAATGCAATTGCCTTAATTTTTCACTTTTCATTCGCACACTACTTATATTTTGATGTTGGTATGTGCTGCCGATGATTTCATATATAATAATAATAATACCACACATTCACTTACACACAGATATACTTCCTTTACTGCCAAAAACTATAAGTTCTGGTTCGTGTATTATATATTTGGATGCTTTGGTTAGTATTGCCTATGTATGCACAATGAATTTTTTTTTGTGTGTGTCTCAACAGCCTCAATTCCCTTAGCGATATTCAATTTAATTGACAACTTTTTTTCCCGTTCATTTATTCTCTCTCTCTATACACACACACACACACGATTCTGTTTCGTAATTTTGTTGGGCATCGAACCTTCTTCTTCTGTATAATGTACAACCTATGTGCTTGATTCTGGGTGGTATCATTGATTACATTGCATTGAACGTACATTTTTTTGTTTGTTTGTTTGTCACCAAAGAATACCGTCAAAATGGATATGATTATTATTTACCGAAAAAAAATACGCTACATTATATATATAGGGATTCTGATGTTGCCTTGTGATCGCAATATGGTGGTGATTGTAGTTCACTTTTCATAAACAAATTTATTTGAGCTATGACCGAATTAGATCCCTCTAAATGAGATCGAATAGAAGAATGGGAAGATTGAACAATGTTCATTTTAGCATGATAATCACCATTGATGACTATGATGATGATGATGATGATGGTGATGATGCGCATAGTATACATCAATCAGATTTACAGGATATTGTATATATATATTCTGGAAAAAAACGTCCTGATATTTTCTTTTTTTTTTACTTTTAACTGTATTATTTCATCATATGCTAAGCTAAGCATAAAAATGTTTAGAGAAGAATAAAAAAAAACCTAAACCAAACCAACCAGATATATGTCGGAAATTGCCTTCAAGAAGAAATTGGCAAGACTCCAATTACTGAAATTACATTAACGACGACGATAGCGATTCCGATCTAATTTATAATATGATAATGGAATTAATTCAAACAAATTGATCATATCACCACTATATCATCATCATTATAATCATCAAAAGGAGATATTGAGAGACAATCAAGTTGGCTATTTGGGCATATTTTTTTTCACATCGCTACATAAATCCAATACTTATTCATTACCATTAGTGATATATTCTTACCATTATATATCAGTGGTATTTTGATCAATGATACTATAATTCACAGTGCATCACATTATGGAACCAATTCTCAATTCAATTATTCTAATTTATTTTGTTTTTATTATCATTATTATTATCGCCTTAGGTAAATATTGACAGCATTCAAAAAATTGATAAATTCTTCAATTCTTTTGAATTTTGAAATTAAATTTTAGACACTGATTTTCATCATAAATTCAGAGCACTTTTTTTCATTAGAATTTATTGATTTATAGTGTTAAAACATTAATGTTGAATCAAAACACCACCTATTTTTGTTAGATTTGACAATAAAAAAGATTTGAATTTGAATAATCAAAAATTCATTCGAAAATACACCGATAGATGGCTGTTCATTAATTCAACATGTCAACAAAATACGTGCGTCATCTGGTGGTTAACAAAATTGTTATTAATTGTTCTATTTTCACAATAGTCGTCATGACATGTGATCTCTATAATTTGAAATCAGTATCATCATCAGTATTTATTTATTATAATCTGTTTTAATGATTAATGATGAATAACAAAAAACGAAAAGCGTCAGGAGCTTCGAAAAAGAAACGCTATGAGAAAATTGAATTCCTTGGAGAAGGTCAATTTGCCTATGTGTATAAAGCTCGAGATGTACAAACCGATCAAATCGTAGCTGTCAAGAAGGTTTGTATGAATCTTTAAATCTGTAAATTCGCTAAATTTTCTATTGTTAGATCAAACTTGGATCTCGATTTGAGGCACGCGATGGAATTAATCGGACCGCGCTGAGAGAGATCAAGATTTTGCAAGAATTATCTCATGAGAACATAATCGGGGTAAGTCTCCATTCATCAATATGATTTGTAAAGCCATGACATTTCGTTTCTTTCATTGAAGCTATTAGACGTATTTGGTCATGTTTCAGATGTTTCACTTGTTTTCGAATACATGCTTACTGATCTAGAAGTAATCATAAAAGATATAAACATATTTTTGACTCCTGCTAATGTTAAATCATACATAATAATGACCCTTAAAGGTCTTGAATACCTGCACACCAAATGGATATTACATCGTGATCTCAAACCAAACAATCTGCTTATTGATGGTAATGGCGTGCTCAAGATTGGAGATTTCGGTTTAGCTAAATCTTTTGGTTCACCAACAAGAATACTTACAAATCAGGTCGTAACTCGTTGGTATCGTGCACCGGAATTATTATACGGTGCTCGTATGTACGGTACCGGTGTCGATATATGGTCCATTGGTTGTATCATCGCCGAATTAGTCATACGATTACCATTTTTCCAAGGCCAAAGTGATCTAGATCAAATGCTTAAAATATTCCAAGTGATGGGCACACCAAATGAAACTAATTGGCCAGGTGTAACAAACCTACCGGATTATGTGAAATTTAATGTGTTAGAGCCTGTACCATTTGAAAACATATTCACAGCTATCAAAGAAGATTTAATACAAGTTCTTCAATCAATGCTGGCGTTGGACCCTAATCGTCGATGTACATGTTCACAAGCATTACAAATGGCCTACTTTCACAATGATCCACCACCAACGCCTACACATTTATTACCGAAAGTAAAAAACGAGATATCTTCGGAGGATATTACAATCACTGATCAAGCATCAGGTGAACCAACCATGAGTGGCACTAAAAGAGCCAATCTGTTTAGTTTGGATAATGTGGTGGCACCACCACATGTAAAACGATTAAATTTCGATGATGATTGACATCAATTATTGTTTATGTAATAAAATAATAAAATAATGATGATTGTCATGCAACAATAAATAGCCGTTCTACAAATATAATACAAATAGATAATATATACGGATGTGCATCCTAATAAATGTATGATCCATGTATGTACAAATGACCAATTAGTGTCGAGGTTAGATAAGCCGTTCTTCTGGTGGTGGTTTCAGAATCTCTCCAGCAGAATTTCCAAACATTTCCTGAGTCGATGGTGAATATGTGCCACGTGTTGCTCGAGCACGTTTTATGCTTCGAAATACAACCAACATGATGACTGCCAAAGCTATAGTCATTATGGCACCCACAGATGCAATCAATATGACCACAAGGTTGATTCGTTTCTGTATGTTCAACAAAAATTAAACCAAATGAATTGCATAGATCAAAATCAGTGTCAAACCTTTTTCTCACAAATTAGTCCTTCATAATCGTCCGAACAGATGCAATAATAGCCACGACCTGACTGGACACATGTTCCACCATTCTGACAAAGACCAGTGGCCATTGAGCAATCATAGATTGGGTCACATAGCGAGCGATTATATAATCCAGCCGGATTTGGTAGGCAAGCACAAAGGTTATGTTGTATATGTGACATTTTTTTCACACAATGTGAATGCTCTGGATGACATTCGGGCATGTAACAAGATCGGCGTCGATCACAACGTTCGCCTAACCAGCCGATCGTACATTCGCAAATATAGGAATCGTTACTTTTCTTCAAACACGTAGCTCCATTTCGGCATGGCGATGAAATGCATGGATCGATCAGATATTGGCACATTTTGCCCTCAAATCCGTAAATACACTGACATGAATAGGAATTGATTTCATCGATACAAATACCTCCATTCTGACAATGGTTAATTTGGCAATCGTCTTTGTTGATCTCACAATCGATGCCTTCGAATCCTGGTACACAGGTACAAGTATAACCAACCGCTTGATGACTATGACGCAAAACCGTCAATTCGTCCAGTTCATATTTATCTCGAAAATTCTGTCCAAACAATGATGCATCGTGAGCTTTCTGCTGACAGGTACCACCATTTTGACATGGATTTGATTCACATTCATCGATGTCAATCTCACAATGATGGCCCGTGAACCCAGGTCGACAATGACAACTGTAATTAAGATGCAAATCTTCGCATCTAAGCGTCCCCAATTGAGAACAAGGCATTGGTTCACAGTCATTAATTTCTTTCTCACAATGTGGGCCATCAAATCCGGTTTCCGTACAATTACATTCGAATGCATTTACCAAATCGATGCAGCGGCCACCATTCAGACAAGGATCATTGTCGTTGTTAACTGATTCGGCACATTCATCAACGTCTTTTTCACAATGATCCCCTTCAAATCCAGGTAAACATTCGCATTCATAGGTGCCATTACGATTCAGACAGGTACCATTGTTCATACACGGACTTATGACGCATTCATCAACGTCTTTTTCACAATGAATGCCTTCAAATCCATGATGGCATTCGCAATGGTAGCTAGCTAATTCATTGACACAGCTACCACCATTCTGACATGGATTCTGAATACATTCATCAATGTCCAACTGACATTGTGAGCCTTGAATGCCTGAAGGACAATGGCAAAGATATCCACCGATCAAATCAGTACAGGTTCCACCATTTTCACAAGGATTCGATTTGCATTCATCTACTTCTAACTCACAATTCTTGCCGGAATATTCAGGTGGACAATCGCATTCATAAGTAGACTGTAGATTTTTGCAAGTACCATTGTTTTGGCATGGACCAGAAAGACATTCATCAATGTCCAGTTGACATAATGGACCGGTATAACCAGGCCTACAATAACATTCGAACGAGCCAGGTTGATTGACACATAAGCCATGAACACATGGATGGTGTACTGAGCATTCATCGATATCATGTTCGCAAAATTGGCCCTCATATCCGGTTGCACAGTAGCAGCTATAATCTGTCAGGTTATTCAAACACGTTCCATTCTGACATTTATGCTTTTTGCAATGATCGATACGGTTTTTGCATCCGATACCTTCGAAACCTGGAGAACATTCACAACGGTATCCGTTGACTAAGTCGATACAAATCTGCCCATTACTACAGTTATGTTGAGCACAATCATCGATGTTAATTTCACAATTATCACCTGTCATTTAATGGTAATAGTGAGCTAGGCTGAATACATTGTTTCTATAGAGCTTACCGGTGAATCCCAATGAACAGCTACAATTGTATGATAAGAAATCCTGAGCAGTCAGACAATGGCCTCCATTTTGACATGGATTTTCTTCCGGTGATTGGCATGGATTCCATATGTTTGTACAGTTTGCACCATAATAAGGTGGAATACATTGGCACGTGTAATTGCTGATTCCGTCCACACAGTGACCACCATTCGAACATGGATTCGGTTTTGGACAATCATCGATATTGTGCTCACAATTTTTTCCTATAGTCAAAGATTATTGATTATTATTAACAAATGAAATGCCAAAAAAATTATCGATACGAACCGTCGAATCCATCAATACATTGACAAACGGCAAGACCATCGGGTCCATTGATTTGACAATGGCCATTGTTGAGACAATTGATTGTATCACATGTGTGTAGGATATGTTCACAGTTTTCACCATGATAACCTAACCATTGGATATCATTAAAATCGTTGATATAATACAATTTGAATTGGGATAACATCAATTATTAAACATACCCGGTTTGCAAATGCAACTTGGCATGGTTGAATTTTCAATAAGGCTGCATGTGGCACCATTTTGGCAGTTGTGATTCATTCCACAAGCTTGATTACGGTATTCACAACGTGGTCCACTGAAATTTCCAGTGCAAAAACAATAAACTTCAGCATCACTGACCACTAAACATTGGCCCAAATTCTGACAATGGCCATGTCGACAACGACAGAATTCATCTACACATTCAGAGTGTTCGGGACAATCGTCATTCGATTGACATTTTAATTCGGCATCGATTCCAAAATGTCCATCTCGACTAATCAATGGGTTGTTTGTAGACGATTCGATTAACGATAAGGACGACGGTGGTATTATAGTCATTGTTTCATTTCTCGATTCTTCAATTGAATCTGATGATGAATGACTTATGTTAGCATCTTCGTTTGTCATGTTTAGTACGGCCACTATGGGTCCGGTAGTTGTCGGGGCAGTTTGTTCGTCATCGTTGTGATGTAACCAAGAATTCGAAGACCATGGCTGGTCATCGCTAATGGTTGTATATGGCAGTGATTGACAATCTAAAATTGATACCAGTGTCAGAATAATGAAGACAGTGGCCAGAACTAATGGACATTTTGATCGTCTGGATATTCTGATTGTCGGCATAGTTTTGATGAATAAATAACACAGTATTAACATATAGAATATGTGGAATAATAATGTAGCTAGAAAGTAGGATGATTTGATCTATAAATTAGCCATTTGAATACGGAACAATCGATGATCGTAATCATGTGAATGTAGTTGATTGTAAAATAGTCTTCATCCAAATGACAACCAATTGGACGATGATTGTAGCATTATACATCCGGTGATTATTATGTAAAATAATGATTGTGTGATTTTACAATGAATTTTACAGCCAATTGTTAATTTGGCCTATTGTTGGCCTAAAGTGAAAGGGATGATTTTAGTCACCAAGTCAGTCAGTCAGTCAATTTCATTCAATCAATCAAGGAAACGATCGATCTACAAATCTATTCATTCATTCATTCATTCACTGTATTCACAATGATTGTTTGTCACATTTATAATATATGCATAATCAAAACTGGATGCTACTCTCTAAATTAATGTGGCTAGTTTATATAAACTTCCTCATCATCAAATTTATATACAACACAAACACATTATTAAACAACAAGTTGAGCTGATTCAAGTTTAGGTCCATAGACTCCCACCACAATTGTAATCATTATTTTGGTCACAATATGACAAAAACGGTTACTTTAAAAAATTTTTATAGAGACGACGATAATTTCTTTGCGAAATTGAAACCATTGAGCACTTTTTTTTCTACAGTTAATAAGCATCGACGTCACTAGTTTATCAAACAAACAAACAGGTAAGATGCACTCGGCATGACTCATAATGTAGCTTTCCATTAGTGGTTAAAAAGCCAGCCATCACAATCATCATCAACAGGTATATTGTGTTATTCTATGTTACTCAATTTGTTGTGTGTGTGTGTGCGTGTGTGTGTTTATATATTATATTCCACTGCCTCTGCCCTTTGGCCACAATAAACAATGAATCCATTCAGATGGTGAGCGCAACCAACTGTTGCCATGACCACCGCCACTTGTCCTGAATTCGCACACATCACATCATCATCATCAGTTTTATTATTCGAAAATGAGCAATGTTTTCAAATTTTCAAAAAGTTCCAAAAGCGTAAAATAAAATTTTTGTAAGCCATAATTATCAGAGAGCCAACTGATGAATAATATCGATGGAATATGGTTGAACCAGGCTCATGCTTCATATAGCAAGAAAATTTTTCAATTTTAATTTTTTTTTCAACAAACCTAACTCTTTCAAAACTAGCCGTAGCCAATAATTTTAATTTTATTGCATTTTAAATTATTTTAAAAATTTGAAAACAACAGCAGCAACAGTTTTTATTTAATGTTTCATCAATGAATTATTAAGAATTCTTATTGTTTAAAAATTATTTCATTGTTTTACAAACAATTACAATTACATGTAATACAATACATTGGATTGATAATAGAATGAATGAATGATGATTAATTTAATTAATTTACGAATTTATCATTGGGGAGGAAAAATTATGATATTTTCACACTTCTAAGACCCACCCTTACAATTTAAAATTGATATACAATGTTCAAATAACAAACGTCCTATATGAACAGACGCCTTTTTACAAAGTTGTTTTGATGCACATTTGAGTTTGAGTATTTTTTTTTTTTTTATTTATTATTAAGCAAAGGCATAAAGTGATAACTGTTAACTGCATCAATATCAAAAATCGGTGACGAACTGATCTTGTGTGTAATAAATTATTACTCGTATATATATACGAATTTTATTTTGCCTTGGTTTTGGCGTCATTGGATTATATGTAATCCTATCCATTGTCTGTTTGTGTGCGTGTTTTTTTTCATTTTTTATTTTTTTCATTAGAACATTAGCACAATGTCATTTTTTTCTAATTTATTCGGTGGTAAATCAAAAACCAAGGCACCAACGCCTGGTGAAGCGATCCAACGGCTTCGAGATGTCGAAGAAATGCTTACGAAAAAGGTAGATTTCCTTGAAAAGAAACGTGATGAAGAACTGTTGATAATCAAGAAAAATGGTACCAAAAATAAACGAGTCTCATTGCAAGCTTTAAAACGAAAGAAACGTATCGAGAAACAACTCGAACAAATCGATGGTAAGTTTTGGTATATTGATATTCTACTAATTTTAATTTAATTTGTTCATCTTTCAGGTACATTAACAACGATCGAGTATCAACGTGAAGCATTGGAAAATGCCAATACCAATACCGAAGTGTTGAAGATCATGGGCGGTGCCGCCAAAGCCTTGAAACAAGCTCACGACAATATGGATATCGACAAGGTTGAAGATTTGATGGATGAAGTTCGTGAACAGCAACAAATCGCCGATGAAATATCCAATGTCATTTCCAATCCAATCGGCTTCCAGAATGATGTCGATGAGGATGACCTGTTGAAAGAGTTGGAAGATCTTGAACAAGAAGAAATCGATAAACAATTATTGGAAACAGGTGAATCTGAACCGCTTCCCGAGGTTCCTTCTGCCGAACCTGTCAAGAAAAGTAAGTATTCACCACACTTGTTTTATCTACTAAAAATTTATTGTTTGTTTTTACAGAAACACCTGCAAGCAAACAGAAAGATGACGACGAATTGGAAGAACTAGCTGCTTGGGCTAACTAAGAAGAAGGAGCCAAACACTCAACTGGGAGAATCTACTCAGTTTTTATCTTTACCACCCCCACACTGTTTTACTAACCCCCTTAACACACAGGCGAGGTATAGTTGTAAATACAAACTAAACTAAAATTCCGTTCTACTCGGCCAATAATACCAAACCAACACACACACACACACCCACAAATGGTTGTTTTTGTTTTGTTCAACTAATTAAATGATCGAATTGTTAAAATAAATTTTAATCAAAACGATTGTGTACATTTCAACAGGTATTCATCCTGTGTTCGATTATCTTTTCCATTTTTCTCGTCTAGATATTCAGTAACAATTGATTTGATCACTTGGATATGATCTGTATTACTATGCATATTGAGCAATCGATGTATCCGTTGCTTAATGGAATGTTCGACAGATGATGATGATTCCCAACGGTTTGATGAGATCATCACAATGACCTGGTCAACTAGTTGCAGGATGAAAAGACCCCCTTCGTTCAATCGTTGTAGAAATAGTTGTTCAGCATCCTCTTGATTTGATAATGATGGATAGTTATTACGATCATCGAATTGCCTTAAACGTTCCAAATATTTGAGATGTAACTCGATAAGACGTTCGGTTTTGACGAAATTTTGCTCTATAAATTTGTTTAATATACGATCTCGTAGTTCCGGACGGCTGGTAAATTTGAGTAATGCAACGATAATGACCAAGGCATGTTCTTCGATCTGATCGATCAGGGCCGCTTGTTTTCTTCGTCGACTACCACTGCCATGACCAATAATTGAATTGGGTCGTAAAAATATGGGCATAAGTACACGAAGACCGAGGATTTCGATAAATTTATCGGCCAATGTAATGAGCTGTGTGGCTATTTGATCATCAGCCACATGGCTAAAACAGTGGCTCAATAATTTCAAAGCACCAACACGCACATCAGTCGACGAATGTTTTTTTCGTTTTTCTTTTAATATCAACACCATCAGTTCAATACCTTCGGCCTTAATAAAAAGTTCCAGGTTTCGGCTAGACATGAATAAAGAACAACAAAGACAATCGTATAGGTTCTCTACGTATTCTTCTTCATCAGCAGTGGATGGATCATGTCTTTTGTAATACTATTTTGGAAATATAAGAATAAGCAAATAATACAGAAAGTACATTTAAACTTACTGAAAGAACATGTAATAGAATGTCGATTCCATTCAATGTACCAACCATCGTACGGTTATCAGAACTGTTCTGTAATAGTATGGACAATATCTCCGATGCATACAATTTATTCGCTGAAAATATTGGTGATTTGGATTTAAGTTTTCTAAGTAGCCAAAGGATCAATGGTCTAACATCTTTGCTCAGTTCTGGCTGGTAATCAGTAAGATTCTCAATGATTGCTGTGAATAAAATTAAATAATCAGATCAAACAAATTCATCATTAATAAATGAAACACAAACACTTACCCAACGAGTTATAAATGCCCTCAGATTCTTCGCGTACATTTTCATCTAACCGTTCCATGTTGGCCACCAATGCTACCGTTATCTGACCATCGATTAATGCATCCATTAAGCGTCCAACCTGTTCAATTTCATCCACATCATCTAGGTCGGTCAATTCTTGTATTAAAGCTACTACAGAGCAGGCAATGTCCGTATTCTCATGAGACAACAAACCTAACAATTGTGGAACTAGATTCATCTGTATGGCTGTATCATATAGTGTTGGCTGAGTGGCGATCACATGAATCTCTTTAATTATATCAAACAGTTCACATTCAGAATCCATGAATTTGGTCGGATTATCTGCGTGTTTAATACGCATTTCTTGATTTTTCAATTGTCGACGTTCCAATTGTAACACCAAACGTTTCAATGTTTCCGAATCGATTTCATTCACATGTTCGATGCCAGTTTGAGCGAGTAATTTTTCAATATCTTTAGAATTAATATGTCCATCTCGAGCCAATGATACTGTTGGATTGTTATCCAAACGTTGTCGTTTCGATGTCGATTGACTTTCATTGTCATCATTGTCGTCGGCATTTAAAATTCCGCTAGTATGTGGATTATATCTTAATACTTCTTCGATATTCATCATGTTTATATCTTGTGTGTATGGGACAAAAAAAAGTCCCACTGTTGAATTGAAAAACAATCGGTTTATAACTTGACGAGTAGCAGAAAAAATAGTTCTTGTTTTGAATTTACACATGCCAACGATGAATTCATTCACCGCAACGGTTACATTATCTATGACGGGCCATATTTTCGGTTATTGTTGGCGCCACTAAATGAGTTTCATCATCATTTCGAATAAATTTAATTTCTTTCGTCATCAAACATGGATTATAAAATCAAGATAGATAACTCAATCGCCGATCTTTGTGAAATGGCATCATTGTTGACTTGTCACTTATGGTAAGTTTACAATATAAACGATTTTTTTTTTTGGTATTACATTCATTTAATTTATCGTTATAACAGTGGAAAATTCATGCATGATCCTCTTAGACTGGATTGTATGCATCGATTTTGTCGCCCGTGTTTGATGGCTCAACTGTCGAATAGCTTGGAACCAAAATGCATATTATGTCAAAAATCGTACTCAGGAAAACAACTGAAACTACAACCACAATTGGCCATGTTTATCAACACGTACACCAAATTTATGACAGAATTGCGTAACATCTTTAATAGTTCATCAGACGAAAGAATGGCAGAGATATTCGAATTTGTCTCTCGAATGAAACGTTTGGATGACCTGTCTACAAATGTTTCTAAATACTTTGCAACTGGACCACGAATCACTGAACAAGAACCTACTGAGCAAATAATATCTGGAAAAGAGGATGTTTTAGAACCACTGATGCACTTACTCACCGATAGCAGTACCATGCTGGAATGTTCCGAGTTGGATGATTTTGATAATATTTTTTGTTAATTGATTTAATTTAATTGTTGACAAATAAATTTAATAATAAAAACAACTATATTTAGTTTAGTTAATGAGATTTTATTGGGCCGAAACAGTAATCAAACGAATGGATTCATATATTCTGAGTAGATTATCTCCATGCATTTCTTGATGATTCGACTAGATTAGAGCTTTAGAGCTTGACACACACACACACACGCACACAACATTCATCTTACAAATTGATATCTGGGAGATATAGATAAATAAATAGAAATCAATACGATCGAAGAACGGATAGAAAGAACAAACTATTGATCAATGATGAATAATCATTGAGCTTTAGCCACATCTTTCTGCACCGATGCTGCCCATTCCGGTTTGTTGTCTTTTTTAGGCAACTTTTCATCCAATTCAATTTCCTTTTTGACCTGTTTAAGGCCACCACGCATATCCATTTTAGCCAATTTGTACGTCCATTGACGCATTTTTTCCAATTGTGTTTGGTATTTGGACACCTTTTTCAACGGTGGAATTATGCTATATGTGATTGATTGATTGATTGATTGAATGAATTAATTAAATTGTAAATATTGATTGATTGATTTTGAAACTTACAATTTGCCTCGCATGTCATTCACTCGTGATTGTAAATCTTGAATCTCATATTCTTTGAGACAAACAACCAATTCGAGATCCCATTTCTCTTCATTGAGTTTGTAGATTCGATTGTGATATTCTTTGCAGGCGGCAATCAATGCAGCTAACCAATATGAAAGAAATGAATAATAATTAATAATTTATAATGTCATTTCATATGTCTAAGTTTATACCTTCATTACAATCATGAGTGGGCTTCGGTTTTCCAGTTCGTTCGCTTATGGCTTTTTGTCGTTCACGTTCACGAATTTCCTGTTGCCGTTTTACTTCTTCGGCTGCTTTTCGTCGCAATAGATTCTTTTTTTGAGAGATAATAATGAACAATGATAATCGAATTTTTTTCCCATTGATTCATCACTTACCCTGAGAGCCTTTTTACGTTCTGGTGTCATAAAGCCCTTCTTCTTTGTGCTTTTCATTTGAGCTTCGAGACGAGCTCGAATCTCCAATTTTTTACGTTCCTTTTCATCGAATTTGGCTTTAGCATCACCCTATATATTTTGATAAATAAATGGATCAATGGAACGATGGGATCATTGCAAAAAAATAAAAAATATTACCATTGTGGACCAGATCTATTGATACGACTATGGTTGATGGTGAATAGCGACCAAGTGGATAGGATAGCAACAAAGATGAGTGAAGAAATATTCTCTGCTTACCCGAACAAGTGAGGTCGAAAATATAGTTAAAAGCTTGCAAACGAATAAACCAACCAACCAATGCCGAATAAAGTGTTCAAAAATGAAGAATGTATTTTTCAAATCAACACCCAAAAAAAAAAAAAAAAAATTCTTAGTTTAAACTGGCAACAAGAAAATCAAAGAGAATATTTTGTTCATCGTTGAACATACATCCTTGACGCACGAATGGCTTCCCATTTTTTTTTTCATCTCATTCCATTTTCAATTCTTACCGATGAGATCGAAATATCGTAACAGCAGTAGTGGTAACAACAACAGTATTATAGTAATTATTATATTAGACAAACATTTGGGGCATACATACATCTAACAACATTTTTCGAAAAACATCAAAGACAAATTTAGAAATTTTTTCAAGCCAAAAAAATTATTATTATTATTTTTTTTTGTACAACTAAATTTATAAAACACATAGAAAAACAAATCTGTTTTTTTTACGGTAGAATATACACACAATATTTGCTTCTAACTTCAGTTGTATTCAATTTTTCGTTTTTGTAGGCAGAATTTTTTTTTTATCATCCATGACGATAATAGAATATATGATAACCATACAAACGATTTGAATCATTCAGAGGACGGCCATACCGTCATATCGATTGTAGACATGAATGGTTTGTATGTAAATCGAATCGACCATGAAAGCCTTTGGTAATCATCTACTGTCATATGAATCGATCTTTAAAAAAAAACAAATCTTTTTTTTTGTTAAACACAATAGATAATTCTGTCAGCAAGGCAGTTATAACAAGACAACAATAGTTATACATTGCATATACTGCAATTAATTAATCAATTAGGCTCAATTAAAAGTACAAAATAGATAGTCATCACAAACAGATATAATCGACAGACTCCCATTGTGCTCGATTCTTTTTTACTCGAATAATAGTCATTAAATTATTTTGGTTTTTATCTTCATTAACCGAACGGACAATACGTTTCGGTATTCATATATTGGAGCACATATTATGAATGATGATGATGATGATGATTGCCATCATAAGCAAGCAATATGGTCGGACGTCATCATCATCATGATCGTTGCAATCGTACTGGAAAATTACAACCTCACACACACACACATTGGCAGCCTCGATTCCAGATTGATTTGATGTTTTATAATTTTACATCAACATTTAGGTTATTGTTGGCTTTTCCTTATGGTTTGTTTGATTATTTTTAGCTACAAATTCAGGAGTATGGCATCGAGCCATTGTAAATTGTAGCTTCATTTCTATCGCTCTCTCTCTCTCTCTCTCTTTTTTTTTTCTTCAAGGTAACTTTTTTTTTATTTATTATACAGCAATTAACCATTTGTTTGTTCTAATATTGCTGCCATCTGATGATTTTGATTTGATCATTATTTTTGAGAAAACACCTCTCGAATCTACAATGATTCGAATAGGAATTTCCGGAAAATTAAATCCATGGATAAGATTGTAATAAATCCGATTAGGGTAATATGTAATATTAATTTTACTTATCACAATGAGGTCTAGTCTCAATAAGTTGTAAAAAAAAATTCCATAATCAAAAATTTTACCGGAAGAACCGGAAGAGAACGCATCACAGTGGTCATTTCAAATCATACAGTGGTCATTTAATGAATTAAATCGATTCTGAATGGCCTATTAAATCGAATGAATTGATTAATGGCAAGCATGATTCCATTGCATTCGTTTGTTGAATTTTGTTTTGTTTCCAACATTTTATGTTGCTGCCATTGTGTGTGCCAAAATATTTGATGCTGCATTTTTTTTTTGGCTTGTTCGACAACAAACGAATGGTTGCCAGGATCGAATATTATTCCCTAATATCATCCACAGGAGAAACTAAGAATATGGCTGAATGCCTAAGAATGGAGCCAAGAAAAATTTGATTTGCCCTCATCAACCGCCATATCATCATAATCATTATTCGTTTGCGAGAGCTTCCTCTCATCATATTCATCATTGCATCTCGAATTCAATCAAAACAATCCATTCATTAAACCATCAGTAATTTTTTTTTGATGCTAATAGTTTGTGGCCATCGTCCATTTCTATTTTACATTATTCTTCAGATTATTCAACACCATTGAATAAGAGGTATGTATCATTCTCATTATTATACACATGATGATAAAGACAAAAACTTTAATTTAATTCTATATTGCATATGCCTGAAATTGCCAATTAGATTCATTCAACAATTCAACAGCTAAAGTTATTTTATGTGTGTGTGTGTGTGTATTGCACTGCGTGTGTATCTGACTTTTCTATTACTCAGTTCCGGTTGTATCATCATGAATCTCTTCTTTCACTTTAATTTGGTTAGCATGCTGCTGCTGTTGTTGTTGTTGTTGATGAGGGTGATGAATATTGTCCATGGAACATTCAGATTGGCTAGAATGACCTTGAATGGCCGATTCGTTATGACTATCATTTGTACTATCCATATTAGTATTTATTGCCATTTGTACATGATGGCCATATGAATGGATATGTGATGATTGTTCCAAGATCGATGTTGTTTCCGGCCCGACAACAGAATTAGTGACTGGTGATCCAACATCACTGGCTGTTGATGTAGTTCCATCACCACTAGTTCCATGATTTGTTTGGCCTACCATTTCGACGTAACCTATATTGGTATATAAAGGCAATGAATATTTGACAAATCTGTGATTTTCATAGCATACCTGATTGGCCATGATGATATTGACTGTAATGATGCTGGTATTCATATTGTTCACCACCACCGAAAGTTGTCGTTGTGGCCGTTAACAATTGTTCATCAATTGGTGGATGGGACCGATCATGCACATTGACTAACATGGGACACATAGAAGATTCTTTTTTGACCATTGCTTCTGAATTGGTGTCATTATCACCCGAACAATGCCATCCGCTCTCATTAGTAGCTGACATCCAACCGCTTTCAGTTTCCGCTTCCGATGTTCTCATGGCAGACTGATGATGCGAATGACTGAGTAGGCTTACGTTAGCGTCTATCATGAGCGAATGACGCTGTAATAGCTGGGCAGTAGCGTTCGCTGGTTGTGAATGTTGCATAAAAGCTAGATTGCATTGGTCATTGTTGAGAAGACGCTGTCGTTTATTGACTTGTGGTGAAATTGCCGAAGTTGATCGCCGTAAGCTGTTTGATTGTTGTTGACTAGAAACATTCGAATTCGTCACTGCCGTTGTGGTGGCCACGGTCGATGTTGTAGCCGCTGCAGCTGCCAATAATGTATAAAAGGATTCCTGATCGCTAGCCGTCGTTCCAATTACGGTAGCATTAGACGATTCATCGCCCATAAGCGATTCTGGCTGCTGCTGCTCATGGTGATGTTGATAATACTCATCCGGGTATTCTTCAAGCTTTATCACCACCGTTTGTGATTGTTGCTGTTGATTGCTGTTATTGGTGGTTGTTTCCGGTTGATGTTGACCACCTGCACTATATTGATGGCCATAGATGAGATTATTGAAATGATGATGATGATGATGGTGAGCATTAATCGGAGATGGTGCTTGCTGTCCGTGGAATGGCTGACCGATTGAAGCGGCTACTACACCCATTTGTGTATTGGGAGATTGACAATCACTTCCGTTGCCTCCTAAACCGGTAGCATTATCCACAGTGCCTGTAGGTGTATGACTCAGGGTGTAATTAAGCGGATGAGGAGATGGCGATGATGTGGATGAATTGAGTTGTTGTTGTTGTGTTGACAAGTAAGCCATCGCTTCTTCCATGTTAACATCATGAACCAGTGGGCCCAGTTGCGACTGCTGTTGTTGTTCTTCTTCCTGATGCTGTGGATAGGTCACCAATTGACCAGTTTGCATTATTGACGCTAATGGATTGAGTGGACAATTATAGACATTGATGAATAAAAGAATTACGAACCTCGAGACAATCGGAACAATTCTTCCGAAGTGAACACAACAGTACATGAATTCATAGCCAACGATGTGGTTGTTGTCTGAGTTTGTGAATCATGGTGATGGTGTGTAGGATCGTCATTACCAGTAACATTTGCAGATGCGTTGGTATCCGAACTTGATCCTTGTATTTCGATATTTGCTGGCGGAGGGATACCACGCAAATGTTCTACATATTCAAAGGATAGTAGATTTTTTTTCATTGAATGAAATAGTGGAAATCAAATGAATGAACATTAAATCATTGCCTACCATGCGAGAAGATGAGATTGGCTAGATAAAGATCCAATTCACGAACAGAAACATTGATATGGTATGGGTTGACACATAGATTAGGATAATGGCAATCTGCCGATTTTTCCAATCGCTCACCATCCGTCGATTCGAGCGGTATTGCTTTGAACAGAATAACCATGACCAAATCCAAACGCCATACTTTATCTGCTTGTCTTAAGCAATCAATACGGCGCATTTTACCTTTCTGATCAGGATTCGACAACACACAGCTAATACGTTTTCGTCCTGTAATGCCTAGGACAAAATCTTCACGTGATTCTTGAGTTATGTCTTTGCGCAATTTTCCCAATAATCGTGATGCCCATTTCTGTTTTACTTCGAGACGTTCATTCTGAAATAATAAACATACACAAACATAACAATCATATGATCAGAATATCGTGTTAAATTGGCTATTTAATTTCATATACCTGAAGTTGTTCTTTACAGTGACGCTCTTCAGTCAAGCTCATACGTTTCTCATGTTTTTTGTAATGTTTCCGTTTTGCCGCTTGTAGATTGAACCATGTATAAGAGAAACATTTAACGAATGGCAACAGTGCTTCAATGAATGGGTGGAATTCATCCTGCCACACACACACAAGAAATAAAGAATGTATGAGACAAAAAAAGCGGACAAAAATAGAAAAGGCTAACACAAGATATAGCTAATGACATATGATCGTTTATGCTGTTGATGGTTTTGGTCATACAAAGAAACCGGGCGCCATTCATAAATTTGACTATTTATAGCATTCGCATTAACGATCTATAATGTCATCATACATCAACTTGATAAAACTTGTCACACTACCATCAACATTGGATTGTTGATCAACTGCCGCGACACTTGTGGCGCCCTTCTATTTCCGACAACGGAATTACATTGCTTTACAGCATTTCAATAACAATAACTGCAGCAATGACCGGAACCCTAACTCACCAATGGAATACAATTCATCGGATCTGCATTGGCCACACTACCGCTGGATCCTATATTGGTACTCACTGCAGTGGATAATGATGATGATGATGATGATGATGATTGATGTTGGGTATGATTGGATCGGACAATGAAAGTAGGCGGAGTCGCACAGGATTGTTGTTGTTGTTGTTGTTGATGATGATTTGGCTGCCTTTGTGACTGCCCAATGGTCATCGTGTGGACAACCGTTGCAGAATGGCTGCTTGTAACAGGAGTATTCAATGAAGAATTTCTATGTAGCCTACCGTTGGTTGGAGATGTTGATGATGAAGATGCTGAAGAGACGTCCCTCACTTCTCTGGATCTGTCCTTGGGAGAATCCGTTGTTTGCTTGTTGCCAGTTACTGATTTTGCAACCGTTCTAATTGATTCGGAGCGATTACCGATTGAATTTTCGGTCTCTCCAGTTGTTGATGTTTGCGATGTACAGTCTAGAATGACCGGACTGGCCATCGATTGGGATTGTTGTTGATAAGGTTGTCGTTGTTGTTGTTGTCGTGCTGCTGCTGCCGCGATCGTCGAAGATGGATAATATTGCTGGCTCGACGCCGAAACCGAAATCAAACGATGACAAGTGGAAGAGGATGATGATAATGATGGCCGTGGTGGTGGTGGTGGTGGCGGTGATGATAATGATGTAGATGATGAAGCTATTGCAGAATAGCAACGACGACGTCTTGAAAAACTATGATCATCATATACATGGTTATTATGGTTATTCACAACCTCAGGTTGTTCGCTATGACCTGAATTCTGTGGTTGTTGTTGATGTTGTTGATTATGATGAAGATTCTGGTGGCTACTACCACCATTCACAACGGCAGTAGCAATCGAGCCTGGTGATGTAGATGATGATGCAGGCGACCAACATGATGGAGAACTAAACGCCGTCGTGCTGGAATCTGTATGTTGTTCATCTTCATCATCAACATTAGCATCATGGCCATAGCTACTAATCTGACTATCACCATTGGGCGTCAGTCGAATGCTACGTTCTTTGATGCTTGTTATGTTGGTATTCATCTTTGAAACATAAGAATTGGATGTTTCGCTGGCTCCATTTTCTTTACGAACCATAGCTGTACATGAAGATGTTAAAGCTAGTAAAGATAGGCATTCCTCTTTTCTTGCTTCTGTCGTTGATGATTGTGGTGATGATGCCACTAGACGATTCTTGTGCCTGTAGCTATCATTCATAAATGCAGTAGTACAATATTCATGTGATGAACTAATCACGCTATTCTCGTTCGTTGTTTTTTTGCTCGAAGATTTATGCATAACTGATTGCCGTACGTCACTACCATTGTATCGTCTATCCCATTCATGTTGGAGCATCTGCACATTGACATTTTCGCCAAAAGATGGGTTTGATGTAGTTGATCCTTCTTTTCCGTAAGCCATCATCATATCCATCATAGCCGTCGATCGTTGTTGGTCACAATGTACAGATGATGACAAAGGATGAACAGTAATTAATGAACCGTAAGTAGCATTAATGGTTGTTTGCTGCTGTTGTTGAGTTTGATGTTCAAATTCATTGATGTTAATAGATTGTCCCGTGTTGTTAGTATCAATATCATACGCACAATAATTAACATGAAAAGAAGAACTACTGGCCATTTGATGATGTGGCGATCGAAATTTTGCTGTCACTGTTAATGCGGAAATGTTGGATCAGTCATCGATTCGATAAATAGACTGTAACGATGACTATTGACCTAACTACAGGCTATTGTCGATTGAGATTCATTCATAAGAATTATTGCCGACATCAAACACACGTTTGGTAATTATGTAAAATTATGTAAAAACTAACTTTTTGTTTCCACACACACGAAAACACACGAGCAAATATTTAGGAAATGAACTGATGGGTTCTTTTGACGTTAGCATTCATTTCATACGGACGCAAAAATTAAATACAAACAAGCACTGTTGTTGTTATAGCGATTTCGATCGATCATCAAATGGATGGATGGATGGATGGATTCACATATCTATTGATGGTCATGCATAAACGATAAATCGATAAACATCGTTACTATTGATGTGTGAATGGTAGCTCTACCAAATACCAACCTCGGATCTATCGATCCGATCAAAAACACGAACAAATTCAACACACACACACGCCTAAATAGCTAGATAGGACAACCATAAAGTGATAAAGTTTTTAAAGATAAAGTGAAAAGAGGCGAACAAGCCAAACCTTTTAGTAGGCTGCACCTGCAATTTTGTCGTAAATAATGGCGCCCAGTAACTTTTCAGGTTGATTCCCGACACTAGGAATAATGATGACCTTTTGATCAATCGGGTGTGTTCATCAATTGCAATCAAAATGTATTAGAAACAAGGCGGAGTTTATTGGATTCATCATGATCGGTTTCGTATCCACGTTTGTGTTGAAACAAATGAATATGGATTGGAATTAATTACCAAGAAAATAACTAAACAATAAAAACACACACACACACACACACACAGCAGTTGGTCTGACGTAAAATAAATAAAATGAATCGATGAAAAACAATTGGTCGCATCAGCTTAATGATGGTTATATTATTTTTTTTTGTTCGACTTTGCCATCATGGGCATCAATCCATAATCTGTGAGGAATGCCTGGTGTTGTGTGTGTGTGTGTGTGTGTTTGTGTGTGTGTGTGTTTGCTTATGTGGCTTATTATTGTTGCTATCAATATACTAATGGTCCTCATCATGATTTAAAAGACACGATCATTGATTAGTATCAGAACAATCATAAGTTTGATAATGACATTGACATAGTGCACGTAATGCAGCAATTCTAATAGCAATCAAGCTTGATCAATTGAAAGAGAGAAAGAGAAAATAGATTTGATAAATCATTATTCTCACATGCTCGGCTCGATTTATATAATCAATAAGTTTGATCGTAAACAACCGATTGGATAAAAAAGAACTTTGATCGTTCATAAAGTCGCGAGAATGCCGTATAAGCCATCAATTCACATTAATCAAATACATAGCCATTGTTGTTGTTGTTGTTGTTGTTGTGATCACTGAATCCATTTGTTTGTGTTATTGCTTAAAAAATTCAACAATTGATGACTAATTATATGAAAACATAAAAAAAACAAACAGCCCTTTTTTTAGTTTTCTGGTTCGATTATCCTTCTTTTGTCATAGTTCAATCGATTATGATTGACAGCCATATTGGTTTAGCAAGCAATAATTACATGTTTGATGCTATCATTGTTGCTACTTATATTGATAGTGATCACCACTTCTATCTATCTCTCTCTCTCTCTCTTTTTCTTATAATTTTGACATTGATAACTTGATTCAATCTCGATTGCTATTTTTTTTTCACTTACTCGACCGACGGATATCGAACCAGTATGATTGTAACCTTTAATAATGACCCAATATATTATGTCATGATGATTGTGTAAGAAGATGACGCGTGTTCACACACAGCCATACACACACACACACGATACATTTTCTGCCGGAATCAAACAATTGATTGTCTTCTGTGTATATATTTTGTGCCTTTTGTGATTACAGGTTATACAAAATGACATTGGCCAACCAAACATCTGTCATCGTGTTTTATACCCATATTACACGTGTCACAGGTGAATGAGTTAGAACATATCAAATACAAAAAAAAATCGATCGATTCGATCATGCCTGATCAATAAAGTCAGCCATTATGCACTACCAATCAAGCAAATATTATAGTCATCGGTTCGTAACGATTGTGTATTATATGGGAATGATATTTAAAAGATGTTTTAATGTCAACAACTCTTCAATTTAATAACAAGATTACAAAATAAAACAAAAGATTTAATCATGATGGTTGTGTTATATTATAAGAGCCGCGATTGCGAACGATTAAGGCCATTCCGTGTTTGGATCGATTTAATGATGATTCTTGCAAATGGACCGTCTTTATCGTCGGCTCTTTGCTGTATTGATCAAACGATGGTCCATTGTCATTGTCATTGGAATCGGTGGCCTCGGTGATTTTTATGTTAACAGTCTGCGGACGAAATTCTAATGTTTCTGATGATGGTGATGATGAGGATGAATACGAATCAGCTTTATCTGTTGACCTGAACAATGGCATAAGAATCGAGAATGAAGATAGAATGTAAGTCATGATCGATTTGTTCTGTCCAAGACGAAAACGGAATAAAATATGACAATGAAGTCCGAAAGAGAAGCGTTCGGGCATCGATAAGTATGAAATGAAAAAGGTAAGCCATGTACTTACTTGTTCCTAAAAAGTAATACATATGCTAGACTGGCGAATGCCGCTACGATGACCAATGAGAGTATGACGATAGCGACGATCCATCCAACATTTGAACCGAATTCATTCTCACATCTTTCTCCATAATGTTCGCTATCACATCGGCATTTATAACCATCATCGCCAACTGGTACACATTCACCACCTGAAGCACATGTATCCGGTTGACAAACATTGACACAAGGTTCCTGTTCTGAATCACGTCGATATCCCGGTTGACATCCACATAAGCGACTTTTTTCCCATTTACTTTTATCATCTTTTCTTCGAACTGGATCCATTTCGAAACATTGTTGATTATCGCCTGTACAGTTACCGCATAATTCACGGCTCAAGCAACGTTCATTCTTACTGGTGATCAAATCATTATTTGTCTTAAATATGTACGATTTTTCAACTACAAAATAGTCTTGATTACATTCACAGGAAAAGTATCCATTAGATTTACTATTATTCAGACAATCGGACATTCCTTGACAGACATCTACTTGACTACATGGCTACAATAATTAAATAACAAGAACGAAAGTTAATGATCGGATGAATTTCCTGAATAATGATTAACTTACATCAAATGACATTGGTTGAGTTTCAAATGCCATTTGTAAGTATGGAACGAGACACCATTCACCGTGTTTGAAATATTTGATCTTTTTGTCTGCATTTCGATCACGAATATAGACTATCACCTGATATTGATCATGATTGTCTGGAACGTCGGTTTCTACAGGATCCATACCGACCAAATCCAACTGATATTTTTCTTCAACAACTTTAAAATTTTCCATCATAATCCGCATATGATCACGTAAAACTTGTTGTCTTATCAAGGCATTCCATTTTTGTTGATTATCACGATTACGTTCTTCATTCATTTTCAATGAACGAATCTGTGCTTTAGCCCAATTGATTGGATCAATGTAATCCAGCCTGTATGAACGATAATTGATTGTGATATAGCGATTTTCGCTAATGTAAACGTACCTGTTTTTGTTGATAGATGTTTCTCGTATCGTTGAATAATTGAAAGAATTTCCTAGCAATTTACTCAAACTGGCAATACGAGATTCGAATTCACTCTGTAATTGAACCGTCCATTTATGTTTCATATGATAAGCGGTGGCATCAACTACTTGTTGACAGACATCGCCATCACGATTACTTCGACGAAACAAACCCGGTATACAATCACAATATTCCGTTGACATTTTTTCATGATTGTTTGAGCTTATCTAGATATTTCCATAATTTACTCGGATTACAACGACCACCAATTGCTGAACAAATTTGTTCATAATACGGCAGCTCACAAACTGGATAACATTTTTGCCATCGATCAACGAACTATCTTTTTCGATTGAGTCTTGTCAGAAAACATATATCCTTGTGGACATAAGCATTCAAAATTATCTGGACGTTCTGAATCGAGTATGCACAATGCTCCATATCGGCGACATGTTTGATCTCCTTTTTCATTTTCATCGCAAGCGGTTTTGACCAATGTACATGAACCATCGTTAGATTGTTGCCACCAATCGGTTAGATCTTTGTGCGTACAATCGCAGAACGTACGATTAGTCAATGAATCGATACGCAGCTTATTTAGTGGACAAGCCATCTTAAGGTCTAAAGAACAAAAGGTCAACATAAAGAAAAAGTTGGAAATGCAAATTGTCTACTCACCTTTGATGATGCATTCCATCTGGCCATCCGATGATCGCTTTGGTTCGAATCCTTTCCTACATTGACATTGACCATCATTGCAAAGTTGATTAGCGCCAGTACATTTTTCACATAACTTAGGCACATTATTCCGCAATTTGCACCCAGTATACGTAATATTGGTTACTGGATCGATCTTGTCTTCGGTCTCATAATATTCTTTGTTACATTCACAACGAAAGAATGGCTCTTTGTCTATAGATGTACATTTTTGTTGACAAGGATTCATCGAAGGAAATAGGCATAAATCCGGTTTACATTCTAATTCCATCAAATTTAAAACCTTGAGGGCATTTACATAATTGACTTGAGCCATGTTTGACACATAACATTTGTTTATCAGGACAAGCATCTGAACTACATTCGTCGTTATTACTGACCACACATTGATTCTCTGGGTCATTTGGATCTGGTTCATAACCAATTTTACAATTACAGTCACATTTTCTATTTTGTCATTATCACGACATTGGCGTCGGTCTAATTGGCCAGGCATATCAAGCAGACATGGTTGAACTGGGCGACATTTCCTGTCATCCATCTTAAACCAAAGCGATTCATTTTTGCATGTGCATAAAAATTGAAAATTTTGAAATCGACCTTCATAACATTCGGCGTCATCATTTTTACAATATTGTTCGCCAGTTATATTTTGAGATTCGCTTTTTATTTTTATATGTCGATACAAACAATAATTCTTTTCAAAGCAATTACGCCCTTTGGCACCATTTTTGAAGTCACAATCACATTGATAATCAATTTCTGTACGATCTATTGAAACGTTTCGAAAACATTTAATGTTCGGGTCTTCTATTGCTTCCAAGTTGTAACAAATCTGATCTTCACCGTCGTTTCTAACGCATGGATCACCGAATGTAAAATCCATCACATCGAAGAGAGATGACCTTTTTACTTGTGAATTTTGATGAACAGGATCATCGAAATAAAATTGAATGACTACTTTATAGAGAGTTTCATTGTTGATGTTTAATTTTGGCACATTGATCACTTTTTTTTCACCCAATACGATCATATCATGCTCGTCTTTGTGATCTTCGGAATCTTCTTTGCCGAATACATGATATGTACCCATATTGTACAATGGTTGACGATGTTGATCGTATAATTCAATGTGTACACGTTTCAAATAATTTGGTGTCTTAGAATTTAGCTTGAAGGCCATGACTGTTCTTTCATTAATGGTTCGCCTTAGCAACTGGGTTTCAAGTTGAGCAAATCCAGTGGTTTGTGAATGTAGCGGTGATAATGATATGATTGATGTTTCATTTTCAGAATCAGGTTTTTCATTTTTCCAACGTCCATTAGGAAATTGTAATGGCCAAAAATCACTATCACTATTGATATTAGCGTTTTTCCACTGTTTCAGACCAGATTTCGTTCGACTTATGTATGGCCAAGGTTCGTCAGATATTCGTTGTCCAATAGGCTGCGTATGAATTCCAGATATTTGTATCAAAGTGAGATCATTCAAATGATCGTTCAATGTTGCCACTAAGGTCATAGATTTTAATTGTTCTATTTGTTGTCTACCAATCATTTCTTTAATACAAAGCTTTTCCATATTGTCACTAGACAAAGACAGCATTTTTTGATCATCATGAGCAATTTCTTTAGTTTTTGCTAACATTTTTATGCCAACAATTTGAAAGAGATTTTGTTCATCGCCATCATTTGCTATCATTGTAAGGTTTAATCGAGCATTTTGGCCAGCCAAAAAATATCGAAAATGAAGACAAATATCTTCATCATTCAAATTGTTTGGTAGGCTAATCTCTTCAATTTGTATGCGGCTACCCGATTTAGCCGTGTAGTATACGGGCGGTTGACCAGATTTAAATAGAGATTGGTCGATTCGTGGAAAATTACTTGGTAGATATTTCATGTTTTGTGCAAGATTTTGTAGGAAACATTGTGGACTAGTTCCATTAATCATGGTACCACAAATCTTATCTTTACGTTGAATGATCGCTCGTCTACAACTGAAGAAGAAGAAAAAGGTTTATTAATAAGAAACAATTAATAAACTGCTACTTACCTGACTGTTTTTTGATCAAATTGATAACCAACCGGACATTCACATTCAAATTTTTCTTCAGTGATAGGTACACATTTTGATTCTTTATCAATTTTTTCATGACATTGTTTAACCTGATCATCCTTACATTTGGTTAGCTGACATTTATCCCCATAATGACCATCGTCACAATTACATCGATAATTTTTGAATCCATTAGCTGTACATTCACCGTAGCCACTACAGTCATGCCAACAAGGATCCAAGATGGAAACTTCAAAAGGATTGGTTTTATTAATACCACTGTCATAGAACAATTCAAAATGGAAACCATAGTCGGAATTATCTTTCAATAGCCTGATTAATGCTTCTCGATTATCAAATCCAGAGCAATCTTTGTTAACCTTTGCAAAACATACTTGCTGTCGATCTGGTTTTCCAAATTTAATTCGAATTTTTTGATCAGTTTCTTGTTCACCCAATATGCTATATGGATTTTCGAACCATTGAGTGATTAAAATTACCTGTTTTTCAGTTTCGGACTTGAATTGAATGCTTCTATCAGTAATATTAAAGGATTCAATGACAGCTCCAATTGAATGCACATTTTCCATTTTATTAATGCTGCGTATGGACGGTTCCCAATTTAGTGGAGGATTATAAAATGCGACTTTGGCCGTTACCGTTTCGTTATCAGTATTTTGTAGATGAAGAAACAATTTTCCATTGTAATTCCAATCCAAAGCGGTCAGATTGAGATAATGACTCAGACACAAATTATAAGATTGACTTCCATCCAAATAATCAGCGTCGAGCAAAACTTGTTTATCTAATTGAAATTTCAATTTAAGAAGTGGAACTGACTCAGTCTTGTTTGTGGCAGCGTTTTGAATCGAAACACAAATGTCATACAACCGGATATCAATGAGAGACGTGTCGGGCAGAATAAATTTCTTGCCATCCTGTTCTTCTGGATTTTGTTGGGAACATTTTTTTTCGGTGCTATTATAGATAATAATTTGATCGGGTGATTTGTTATCACATTGAATTTCAGCTTCATTTGCAAAATTAATACATCTCATCGTTTTAGAGTCCCATGTTAATTTGAAACAATGGTCCACTTGATTACAATCATCACCCCACCAACCATCAATGCAAGAACAGGCACTTTCCACGTCATTGGCTCGAACATATTCACTTAATTCATCGCATTTGCTATTACCCACACAAATTGGATTAGGTTGACATGGATTGCCAAAACTTATCATTTTGATTGTCAAATCCGCGGAAGTATCAGTGATAAATTCGATTTGCAAATTTAAATGGCTAGTCTTGCTATTTGGATGTGGTTCGAATTGGAATGAATATTGAAATGAATTTTCGATGGAAATTGATGATTTCTGCATTGATTGTATACATAAACTTGTCACGTCGCAGAGTTTAGCTCGAATTTCTTTTACTTGAGAGCTTAAGGATAGTATTAATGGCCGTGAGGTCAGTAAATGTTTGTCTTCATAGAATAACCATGCGGTCGACACAAAATATATGGTGGCTGATTTTAAATTGTTCATGATCAAATTTGCACCATCTCTTTTAACTTCTTTGCCAGGTTTCGGAATAATTGATTTTGACCATACTGGATATTCATTGTTATCCTTTAAGGTCAACGGAAAGAAAAATGGTTCAGGCAAACTGCTATCACTTGTTTTTCTTTCGTTCGATTCCTGTTCATTCGTCACAGCTATGAACACTAAGTTTTCCGACTTGACATTGTCATGCAATTGAATGTAAAGCTGTCCTTTAGGTTTAGTTAAATGATCTATTCGTAGAAATCAGTTGGACAGAATCGAATTATCTCATTATGATTGGATTGTTGATATTCATGTAAATTGTATAGTTGCGATTTGTTAGGATTTGTATGATGATTAATTTGCAACCAGATTTTCATTTGTATTGGTCGATCCACTATGTAGGCGATTTCCAAACAAGGATTGTTGTTGTTAATATTAAGATCTACTTGCTTATGAATGATGGTCGCCGATTCGATAGCATTATTAGTTTCAGTTTTGTGCCAAAAATATATAGGAACATTTTTATTCTTATATTTTTCAATGAAATTGTTAACCAATTTTGACTCGGGACTTTCATTCAGCATAAATTGATTACCATCAGTATTATCTGGAATGGCTGCTGAATTTTCGAAATTAAAAGCAATGATTTCATTATTCTTTGGCTGGATCTTTATTGTCAATGAGGTTTTGTTTATTTTTTTCAAGCCTTCTGTCGTCAGAAAAACTGTATGCCAATTGTTGTCTGATTTGGATGTCCAATCTGTCTTATTTAAGATTTCTTTTTCTGATTCAAAAATAAAGTTGACTTCCAAAGGATAATAATAACAAAATAATTGAACATCTTCTGATGTTTTTGTTGATCAAATTTGTCATATCTGAAAGCGCAATTTTTTGTTGAGCATTCATACAGATTTAATAAGCCAACCATCGTGTCTTTGTTGATGCTAAACATTGATTCGTTTTGTTGTTGCAATTCGTTTATTATCATGGTATCGTTTTGATCACTTAAACTGCTGTGATCATAAGATAACCGAACTTCTTTCAAAGCCAATATCGAATTCTCACAACCAGCCAGATTATTCATGGTCAATAATGATTTTTCGGTCAATTCGACCAACGATTGACGATCATCGATCATAAATGTCCGACTGATGTTCACCCATTGTTCAGGATTTACTAATGGAAGTTCATTTTTATCACCATAAACGTAATAGCTACGTGTACATTTAACATCCGTATTGCCATCCTGGTTATACCAAATCTTGATCGATGCGATTCGGGTTAGTTGAATCTCCGTATAGCTTGTTGTTGTTATAACTTACCTTGAAATGAAATATTAGTCGTTCGAATGGACTTTGATCATAATCTTTGAGCAAATTGGTAATTGTTTCGTTAGTCATTCTATGTGCACCAACTTCATACAGGCCTAATGAATAAAAAAATCGTCTGCTATCCTGCTGTAGTTCATTGGTATCAATTAGCCGTGGTTGTTCTTCAACCGTTGGAAAACTTTTATCAATGATGATCCAGTCTTTTGGATCAGCAATCACCGTTGATGCTATTCATTGATATGTTAAGCAATAAATAGATAAATTATTTAATTACACATGTATATTATCACAACTTACCAAGTTTGCTCGATTCAACATCAATAGGTTCTTCTGGAATGGAATGTATCAAATCGATATCATTATAATGATCATCGATAGCCCAAGATTCGTAAACAATAATAGACCACAAAAGAACAATTGTCCAATGTGGCATGAATGAATTTGGCCACTTCATGCCTGAATATTTTGTTTTCGATGCTATTAAGATGAAATTCTTGTGTGTATGTGTGTAAATATGATAAATTTAAAAAAAGTAAAAAATTTTGATGAAGAGAAACGCACAGATGAAAATCAAGACTGAAAATGATGGAATAATCATCTCTAACCATTAACCATAGACATCTAATAATTGCAATCATTCCATATCTAGATGTAACGATGACGAATGGTCTTACCATAGGATTAACAAAAATGCTATTTAGCTTGCCATAATAATAAATCCTATTGATTACTTTCAATGGAAAAGGAAAAGATCATCCTGGTATGAAGGGCGATGGCAACCAAGCGACCAAGATATTTGCTATAAGATATATGTGAACATCTTTATTCTTGCATCAATACAATACCGGCATTAATCCTATATATTATCAAAACTCGAGCAAATAAATACAAGTAATGAAAATGGAATGCAGTGACCAAGTAATTGGATTTAATGCTCATCTATAGGAAATTATTACAATGAATGATTGCTCATTTTTTTTTAAATGTCAAACATGAATTCTAGATTTAATAATGCACAAGCCAAAACTTATCATAACGGTTACTATTGGTGCTGATAATTACGAAGTGAATCAATGATTGCCAGATATGGGTCTTGTAATTTTGATCGGATATCATTTTCTTTCCGTGGAATTTTTCCCTCATCAGCGTTGAGCGTAAACAACTGAAAATAAAACAATGTATTAGTGAACAAACACAATGGTATTAATTAACATCCAATTACCCTTAGCAACAGTTTTGATTGATGATTAGCCAATGGCCGATTCTCCCAATCAGGTAGATATTCGTTTAGTCCAACGAAATAGCATCGAATCAATCGATTTTGTTCATATCGAGTGACCAATGCCTGACATCGGTTAATTGATTTACGGTCACATTCACGAAGGCAGTGTGCTAAATCTACCGGACGGCTAAGCATCAGTGTTTCATCGGTTACCTTAGGTGAAACTAATGGCCATTCAATTGCCATATAGAGACTATCATCTTGGCTCTGTATATATTCCGATCCAATTTCTTCCGATACTTTTCCGCTATCACGAGGCACCAAGAATGCACTCAAAGCTTGTGTGAAATTTGTTTCGTAAAAAGCGCAATCAAAATGTTGCAGTTGTTGATCAGCCTGTCGAACCGGTATGATTATGACCAATCGACAAAAATGAGATTGAATAAAATTCGATGATTTCGAAGACAAAAATGATGGATTACTGTAGTATAACAATTTGGATTCCCATGTACGAACACATCGATCTAAACATTGATGACGATTAGTAACGTTGGATATATGCCAGAATGCTAATCTTCCGCTGTCGACAATCGATCTAGAAATTGATTCCATATTATTTTTGTCTACAATCCGTTCAAATGAATCGTATTTATCAACCATTTCATCTGAATCAAAACGAGTAGTTACGAACGACGGTATTGAACGTAATCGATAATATTCGACAGGCGTCGACCAATCTAGATCCGGATATCTTTGCAGAGTTACATTGTAGTTGTAAAGCAGACAACGATAATCTTCGGTATTATTCCACAAGCGGCGATTAGGCTCAATAATCACCAATTGACATTGATCTAATTGATTAGTGCTATAATAATTGTATTCGGAACATCGACTCAAACAATCTTCCACAGTGGTCATATTTTCGGTTGCAACCAGAATCGGTTGATAGGATTGACGCATGAAATTTAGCGATTGGCTGTACATTGATGGATCGACATAATCATAGGTGTCAGTATCGACCAGCTGATAGACAAGTACTTGGTCATAATCAATTGGTGTTTGTATTTTTAGAGCATCAATCTTTTCTATATTATTCTGCTGTGGATAATGATCATAATAAAGACATTCATATTGAACCAATAAACGAGCTGGAAGAATAGGATCGGACATGAATATTGGACGAGCAAAAATGAGCAATCCATCAGATTCTGGGTTGTCAGAATTTCGGCGTTTTGGTCGAATTTTTGAGCACTGAACTGCATTCGAAGCATGACTAAAATGATATTGAGCTTTCCATTCCCCATTAGATTTTTTTAATTGTTCATCATTCATAGTCTCATACTCAGTATGATTCAATTGCATGATCAATTGAGGACGATCATTTTGACTTGAATTGTTCGACACTCGATATACATTGATAGGATATTCGGACAATTGATTTTGATATCGTTTTTGTTGTGATATCTGCGCCAATTGTGCATCAATAACAATATCATAGATCATACATTCATATTTATTGTTTAACGTTATGTCGGGCTTTGCCAATACTACTCTACATCGATCCGGATCGGCATAGTGATGATTTGATCGTGATCGAGCCCAAAGTAATAAACAAAGACGAAGACAATTGCTTGGATTTGTTTCTCCTTTCAAACGATACAATGGTTCATAACGGTTAAGCATACGTTCAATCGTTGATTGATTTGTTGATGATGAATCGCTTGTATTAAGTGACTCTGACATGAAATAATCGTCTAGTAAATTATTTGGTATAGTAGAATAAAAGCCTGAGCCTGATTGCCTGACATCATGTTCAGGTAGACTACGTAATCGGAATAATTGAATTGAACCAGTTTTGATTTTGTTATCCATAATTCGTTCATAGAAACGACATTTTAGATGACCAGTCTTGAGTTTTCCAATGTGTAACTTGTGACAATAATGATGAGCCATGTGGCTAGATGATAAATTCGTGATATGTGTTTGCAAACAACGGGACAAACATTGTTTCTTATCGGTAGCTGTAATGGTCAATTCGTTAAGAAAATTAATTTGGCTACTACCATTTGTTTGCATGTTTGGTGTTTCAATAAAATAATCCATTACACGATCTAATTTGAATGAGAAATCTGGTAATGGCATTCTTCGTACGGTGAACCAAGATTGTTCAGTGAAAGCAATCGGACTTAATTCAAAAAATGAACAATTAAAACGATGGGAATGCTGTCCATGCCATTTGACCACTAGAAACCGACACAAAGGTTCAGTAATTTTTTCCGTATTATGCTTGGTCATAGAATTGTTGCCAACAGATTGTAGCCACGAATTGAAGCAATGACGATAGCATTGATTCTCGTTGCTAACGCCATACCATTCTTCGTATGATGGTCCTACCAATTGTTCAGAATCACTAATGGTCGATGGATCATGGATGTTAAATTTAAGAAATGGTTCAGGCGTATCAAGCACATAGGCAGACATTCCTAATGTTCCAAATGGTTCATTCTCGTTCTCATCGATAACATTATCTAGTTCGCGTTCCAGTTCACGGCGTTGACGAACCGTTGTAACAATGATTGGCGATGCTAGTCTTTCAAACGGTCGGTCTAGTATGCCTGTCGTTTCAAGATCTCGTTTAGCAATAGTGGCACGTTCGGTCATCATCAACTTGTACATAATTTGAATCAGGTCTTCGGTGAACAGCAGACAAATTTTCTATAAATGAAAAATAATGATGAGCCATTTAGGTCATAAGTTTAATCGTAAGGAACATACTGTTTGGTTGTTGTGTCCATCCAACAGCTGTTCATAAACGGCTATGAATCGACATTTCAGATCCGTCATGACGGCACAATCGTGTTCACATTGCCGCACATCAGTCACGTTTGTTATTCGACGTTTTGGTTCCAGATAACGTCCAAGAAAATATTTACGATCCTCTTCACCCATCAAAAGTTGTTCGAATAATCTGATGTAAACCGGTTTCTTTTCGATGACAAAATCGGGTTCCATATTGTTGTCTTTTTGGTCCATCATTGCAACACCAATAGTCCATCCAGCACGAATGCTAAACGAATCAGATAAAACATTGAGTTTGCGGTTAGCATCAGGTTGTTGTTGTTCAATAAGACAAAGACCGGTAGGTCGATGATGCAAAACGTATGCACAGGATTGACGCTGTGGTTGCATACATTGCTGTAGGCAATCTAAAAATGTCTTACTGACACCAATTGAGCCATACATTCCATTTTGGCTTTTGATGGCTTTCACACGTTCCAAATGAAGGCCATCCTCGCCATCAACCAAATTGACAATTGAATGTGCCAATCTTGGTCGTACATTCTCGCCAATCAAAACGTCATTATCGTATGCTCGATACCATCTTGGTTGAACAAAAGTAGTGGTTGATGTAGATTCATTTCGCATGAATGTTGCAATATTATTTCCATAGCTGGACGATGCATTGGCCAGTGAAGTTTGCACATCCAATTCATATGCAAGACGACATTCCATGCTCTGACGATCATAAGTAAATCCAACACAAACGGCCAACATTTGCCAGCAATATTGTTGACATTTTTGTAGTGATTCTGTTTGTCTCGTTTGCACGAGTTTTGAATATCGGTCATCAAGAGCCTGGTTGTATACTTGAAGCCATTGATAATTCGATCCGGTCTTGGCTGATTCTATGATCAAACAATCTGTATCGGGGCATTGAGCAATCGTTTCATTAATCTTGGCATGATCTGTGTTCATTTTTTGACTATCAGATATTTTGCGTTTCAATCCTATCATTTCAGCTAATTCATCAGAAATCGAATGATTCTTGTTATCGTCGTCATTCGCATATAATACGTATGAAGATTGATCATTTGTATTATTGAACTGAGGCCATGTTACTACAATTATATCATCTCCATTGGATGGTAATTTTGATTCTCGTTCTATTGGAAATTCTGTAGTGGTTGCAGTGTTCGTGTCTGATGTTTTAATTATTTGAGTTGGATTGAATGTGGCAATAAATTGACTAAGATGATTGGCCAATCTACTATTAGCTGTTGTAGTTTCCACTGTATCAAGTCGGTTCTCAATGTCATCATCTTCACGTCTAGATAAATTCTTCGGTTCATATGGAACAGTTTTCAATCGAGATTGTGATGGTAGTCCTTTATCATCATCGGTAGTTATGATCTTAGCAGATTTGTGGTGGCTATCTAAATTACGGGCTTGGATTACATTTTGATCATGATGATCTGTTTGATTATCCCCGTAAACAACGCTTATGCTATCATTTAATATTGGTGGATTATGGGGGCCGGTCAATCGTAAATATTCCTCTAGCTCATCTTCATAAACGACAAAACTTCTCATCAAATTTGGTTCTGTTTGTTTCTCATTGATTGGTTGTCGGGATTCAAGAGCCGTGTTTGTTGAATCGTTGGTTTCGAGTCGTTCCATGGGTTTACTTGTTGAAGTAGTTGTTTGTTCAATGATTGATAAATTCGATTGTTTTATCGGTTGTCGCCGGAAAATTGTGTAATCATCATTATTATTGTTTTGATCATGCAGGTCATTATCAACGTAAACAACGTGACTTGCTTGTGTTGATAGGTCATCAGGCTGGTTTTGGATTTTGATATCAGCATCGTTTGAATTCGGTCTGACGTTTGGTTGATTTGGCAAGTATTGACTGCGAGAATACATTGCAGGTGTTGTTGATGAATGATTATTTTGATTCAAAACGAATGGTCGTATGATTTTTGACGTGATTGTGGATCGGAAATTGCCTTATCATGCGATTGATTAACTATATTAAGAGAATCAGCTGGTCGAATAGAACGATTAAAATTTTGAATTTGATCAGTATTATGGCCACTCGATTGACGTGGATAAGTTTCGTTTGACTGTATTGCACGACCGTTCGATTCAGAATGTGCTTTTTGGCTTGGAAATCTTGTTTCATAATGAAATTGATGATATATACCAGTTTGTGGATCATAATACAATTGGTTGGGAGAAACGTTTTTCGGTGCCAAAACTATTCGTTCACTTTTTCGTACGGTTGGCTTGTTTATTCGATTGCCAAATGTAGTATCCATTCGGTTGTATCGTGATTGTTCACGTTCTATGTTCGACTCAGTGTTGGTAATTATTGGGCGTCTAAATGATGATGGAGGCGGTGGAATCAATGTTTGGTCATTGTCATTCGATTGATATTGTGCACGAGAAACTGGAACAATATAACGAGGTGGAAGTGCAGTAGTTGTTGAAATGGGTGGCTTCCTTAGCACTGTTGGTTTCCGTCTTACGATTGGTTCATTTCGGTGGATTTGAACGGGTTGCTCATAACGAGCATATTGAATAGATGTTTGATCACTAGCAGCAGCATTGTGTGAATCAATACCAGTTGTTTGGCGTGAAGAATGAAGACAACCAGAATTGTAGGGCCAATCACATGTCATTATTGAAGGATTGTAATGAGTACCAGGTCCACAATCAAATGAATATGGTGTACCATGAACGCAACGATAAAATTTACCACAATCATTTGGATGTGGATAAAAGCCATCATCTGTGTGAATGAAAAAAAAAATTTTGATTATTGTTATTTGCAATGAAAATTGAACTTTATTCTACCTTGGCATTGAAAAGATGCATTACAATCATGAAAATTGAATGAAAATGATGAAATGAATAGGATACAGGTAACAATATTGATTAATCGATTTAACATTGTTAATTACTAATTAATCGATTGTACATTCATTCAGTTATAATAAATTAGTAAAAGTTGTTTACGAAATGGTTGATATGGCATCACAAAAACAACCGATTTCATTCGTGAACAAAATTCAATTGAACGACCATAATCATCATATATTGACGATTGTAGCTTCTATTGATAAGATTAAGTATGACTCAAACATTGATTTTGGCTGCCTTTCCTTTATCATTAAATATTGTCATATGAGATGATTGGTTGTGAAACATCGTCGGTCAATAATGGTGAAATTTTCCACATTCATATCCTGTCATTCACCACATATATATACACACATATGACGCCCATCGTGCACGGGTTTTTTTCATATTTTTTTCCATTTAATAAACACAACCCTTCAGTCAATTTTCATGCAATCATAATAAGTTAGCTCTAAACTTTAATAAACGAATTAAATTAACTTATTACCAACCAACCAAATCATAATTCACGTCGAAGCCTGAATCATTTTTATAAACATGTAGGATTAATGGGAAATCCTTACAACACACTAACAAACAAGGAAATTTACCAATCAATCTTTCATTGTAATTTTTATGCCACTGATGATGATGATGATGATTAGTGATGATATATAACTCATATAAAGCATTAGTATTTACAATCTGTCAATCAAAAAACAAAAAAAAAAATTATAATCAAACACAATGCTTGAATAATTCATTGGCAGATTCATCGTTTATTTTTTTTATTTAATTATGAAAACTTCGAAAAAATAAATTCGGTTGTTGTTTTTTATTCAGAAAAAAAAATCATTAAAATTTTTGGCGAATTAATCATTCGGTGGTAATATATATATTGTAGCGTATTCGATGACTACATTTATTCAACTGACTTTCAAAACGCAACTCATCCCCACTCATCTGTTCGAATTGATATAAATAAACTGTACGTAGACCCAATAAAATCAGTGGTAAAGCTAGTTCCCAATCATCATTGTTTACAGCCATAATTGATGCTTTCATTGATCGATGAAATCTCTCTATCATACCATTCGCCCTTGGATTGAATGCTACTGTTTGGATGTGATCCGTACCGATAAGATTTACGAATTCTTTAAACAATTGACTTTGGAATTGTAGTCCACGATCGGTTGTTATTTGATCGGGTACGCCATAGCGTGCTATCCAGTGTGTTAATATACATCGTGCCACAACTGGTGCAGTAATTTCTGGTAACGGTACGGCTTCAGGCCAACGTGAAAATCGATCAATCATTGTTAGAACATAACGATTTTGATTGGAAGAATTCGGTAGCGGTCCTACAATATCAATATTAACCTGTTGGAATCGTAATTTGGGTATTTCAATTTGTTCAGGCGGCACCCGAGTGTGACGTTGAATCTTGCTCATATAAAGCATTAGTATTTACAATCTGTCAATCAAAAAACAACAAAAAAAAATTATAATCAAACACAATGCTTGAATAATTCATTGGCAGATTCATCGTTTATTTTTTTTTTATTTAATTATGAAAACTTCGAAAAAAAAATCATTAAAATTTTTGGCGAATTAATCATTCGGTGGTATCATTCGAAACCGACAGGTGGCAGCATATTAGTGGATTTTTTTTTCAAGGATAAATCCCAAAATATTTATCGAATATTCAAATATATTGGATGATGATAATAATACGGTAAAATGAGTATACGCACGCGTCACCAATAATTTTTTTTTTTTGGTCGATTGACTCAAAAGAGGCTTTGGATGGACGGGATATTATAAGAGAAGAAAAAAAAACGCGCGAGTCCATTCACATTTAAGAAATAGCGTTCAAAGTGTTCACATGGTTTTTTTCAGTTGAAATTTCTTATTATTAATTCTTTGATCTCAATTGATTTCAATTGTACACACATATATGACGATTGATTAATAAATCCAACCACATTTGGTTATCATTGGTGTGTGTATGCGTTTGTGTGTGCATTTTAATCCAACAACAACAATAATATAATTATTATCAATCCAATTTTTTTTTTTGAATAAAATGTGTAACTTATTACAATCAATATGGCTACTAAAAGCCATAAATTGTTGGTGGTTCACTTGTTTGATGATTAGTCTGTTTTTGATAAGAGCTACTGATCATAATATGATCATCAATGCAGCAATCGATAATGGGTATTATTGATCAATATCAAAGTCATACAAAAGGTAAGTAATTTTTTTTTCTATTTTCAATTTTCTTTTTTTTTTTTTTTGGCCATGATGAATGTTGTTATTTTCTGTGTGTGTGTGTGTGTGTGTAAACCATTTATTCTGTCCAGATAAATTGTCCATTTTGATTCAGGTATATTCTGTGATTCAAATTTATTTGTTTGTGTGTAAAGATTGATGCCGGCCCTAAATGATGATAGTAAACGGTTGTTGTCGTTGTTTTTGTTTTTGTTTTGTTCACAGCCGTCGACAGCATTTATTTATTTATTTTTTTTTTTTTGCTTCAACCAATGTTATTTATGAACGCCATCCAATGATGTCCAATGTGCTATCAAAAATACATTTAGCAACAAACTGGGATAAAATGGGCTCTAAAATTTTTTTTCCTTTTTAGAATTGGAAATTTTTTGGTATGAAAAAATAAATGTCACTTTGATGGTTTAACGGTTGTATATGTTTTGTAGTGAGGAGAGAAAATTTATGTCCATTCTGGCGGCAGCAACAGCAGCAGCAGCAATTACAGATTAGGACAAATGGCCATCAATCGCAGAAACGAAAGTAGGAAAAAAAAAGCCAGGCAAGGTAGCCATAATAATATTTTGGTCGTTTGTATGACACCAATAAGTTATCGTTCCATTTTCATTTCTGAATGTGTATGAATCAATGGTTGATTTCTATAGCCACAATGTGTGTTAAGAATTTACACCACCACCACCACCACCCACACCAAGTAATCGAATCGATGAATCAGATTGTAGCTATTTTTTGATGTTGATAGATTGTGACTGAACATTGATTTTTGAACTAAAAAAAAGACTTTAGACATCAATCATGAATGATGATGAACTATGTTTGTTTGTTTGTTTTTTTTTTTTTGTAAATCACCAATACCACTACCATCATCATCATCATCATCATGCATGATGAAGCTAAACAAAAAAAAAAAAAAAAAAAAAATAGAAAAAAAAAACTAGACTAGAATTAATCTAGACAATATCATTGAAACCATTTCTATTGCCTCTTATCTCGTTTATTTTGTAATGTTATATTATGTTAACAAGGCAACCGGAAAAACCCGGAAAATATTAGAGAGAAAAAAAAATGAACAAACATTGTCGGTATTCTATCTATCAATCCATCTTTATCATCATCATCATTTGCTTCCTATTTGCAGCTACTATATTCACATTATTCACTAATTTGATTCAAAATGGTTGCCTAATGATTCATTGGATGCACCAACAAAAAAAACTAGGCCTTGTGTTTGTGGTTTTATTTGATGATGATGTGTACAGTAGTACCGATTGATGTATTTTATTTTGTCAATTCGGATGTCATCGTCATCATGATTTCGAGTTGATGCAAAAGCATGGCAAAGTTTTTATTCGTAATTTTTGTATATGTCCGGACATGTTTATATTTTGTTGTCATCATTGCACACTTGTTCGTTTGTTTGTTTGTTTGTTATGAAAAATACAAGTTTATTCTCCATATAAAAATCGCTGGTCATTGGCATAAACAAAATAAAAATGGATTTCATATCCACCATATATATGGATATAAATGATGCCTAAATTGGAACATAATGAGCCGTAAACAACAGTATAGTTGCATAAGCTGATTAGTGAATTCGATTCCATTTAATATTGGAACCTATTATTTTACAATTGTTTTCATATTCTCCTTAAAAGATGGGAATTTTTTTTTTGTTGCCTAAGGGCTAAGTGGAAATATTATAGACAGTATAACGAGAATCGTTAGATCACAAATTGGTTTTATACTCACATCAGAACGCGTGCAAGTTGTCTTTGAAGAATACATTCAGCTAAGTAATCAGCTTATTTTTATTCGTAATGAGACGTTGATTGCCTGCCATTACAAGCCATTCAATTTTCATTATTCCATTCGTTTGCTCTACCTCCTCCCCGAATTCCATCCACCAATCAAAATCATCATTTTGTATTTAATCGGGTTATGATGATGACTGGCTGGCTATGACCATTCAATATCCGGAAACTAATCGATCGATTCAATCTTAGTTTCCATTAGCATTGCCGTTCTGGACCATCAGCTTTAAATCGGAAATCTTATCCTTGAGTTATGGCTGAACAGTCAGTTATACAAAATCGATTCATTGATAGCTGTCCAAAACGATCCAAATCTAAACTACTGCAGTGATTAACTTAATTACTATTGTGATGATTCTCCAAACAATTCAAACGGTATCGGCCTATTTCCTTTACGTATTGAATTGGGCTCTGGTTTGGTCAGTAGCGATTACCAATAACAATATAATGACTGTCTTGATCGGTAACAAACATTTCAAGCTAAAATTAATAGCTGCTTAATTCAGTAGAGTCTTAACTCATCGAATGATGATGATGATGATGATGATGAGAATTTAGCAAAGCTAGAACTTGAGCCTAACGAAAAATCCTGGTGTGTTTGTTGGTAAATTGATTACAATGATATTAATATGGGTTGGACACGTATGAACGTGTGTATGTTGAGGATTGTCATCTCGAATCATAGGTGTTACGGTTTATTACGATGGGTGAATCTTGGTCATTTGTCAAGAGAATGGTTGCCATGTTTTTATCCGTTATATTTACTATGTGATGATGAGAATGACAAAACTTGGTCGGAGACCATGGACGGTGCTAATTGTTTTTTATTTTTTTTTTTTTTTTTTTTTGTTGTTACAAATGACTGGACATTGCATATATTGATGCTATATGACCATCATCTATCATGATCACCAATGGCACGAAGCCATATGCAGCGATGCGAATCGTTAGAGTTCCAAAACACAAGTATAGAGCCTTAGAATGGATTCCTACAATCGATTGTTTGCTCCATTCATTCGCATCATTAATAATTAACTTTTTCTTTGCTCGGCTTTTTTCTTCTTTCTTAGATTCTTCATTGGCTCCCAGCTAAGATTTATGGCTTTTTTCAATATTATATATATATAGACAAGTCAACCACAGCCACCCACATAAACACAGATTCAATCCAAAGTAACCTAGCCACAATTTAATTGACGATAAGCAAAAGAAAAAAGAAACAACAAAAGGAAATCAGATGGGTTGTGAATGACTTGGATCATATTCTCGACCAATCATGATTACAGATTTTTTTGTTTGCACGTTATTCTAGTTCCGGTGATGGTGATGATGATGATGATGATAATGTAAACGGAAACACCATTTTTAATGCACCTGCCATTATTTTGTCTATCCGATTGCAAGTTTGTATCAAAATTGCTAAATGAACACACACACACAGTGGTGGTGGTTACCACCGGTTATGTATGCTTACATCTGCATCATATTCTCATGTAATCAAAAAAAAAAAAAAAAAAAAAAAATCTTGCCCACCATCATGTTGTGATGGACCCAATCAAAAAAAAATGCTCTGCATGTGGGGGATGTAAGCAATGGTAATGCATTTCTCTTGAAAATCCATTCAACCGTCCATTATATGAATATTACAATTGACAATTGTAAACCTTAAACTAATAGTGTATTTGTGTGTGTGTGTGAGTAATTGAAAAACAGCTCTGGAAATTACATTTTGTTAAAACCCAATATGGCCAGAAAATGTATTGAATTCAATCAATGATTGTATTGATGATTGGTCAAATGTTTAGAATGCATACAATGCTAAACAATAGAATGTCCATTATTGAAAAGGAAAGAAAGATAAAGAGAGATTGAACCCGATAATGGCCGATTTCATTTTCTCCATCATATATATATATATATATATATATATGGACATTTGAAAATTCTGACCAAGTTTAGTTAACCTAATTGATTAATCTACTATTTTCTATTTTTTCTTATAATCAAATAAACACTCACAACTATATTTCATCGCATCATGATAAATAATTTGACAATATTCCTTTAATTACAGGAGGTTTGAACTTTATTATTATTATTATTATTATACATTGTAAATATATGTGTTTGATTGTCTCATTTGAACTATTCATTCATTCCGATCCAATTGAAATCTTGTACACTAAGTGGGTCAACTTTTTTTGTCTCGGATCGTGATCAGAATGGTAGTGTGTGTGTGTGTGTGTGTATGTGTATGTTTCACGTGTAGTGTATCATAATTATTCAATGGACAATAGTTATTGTAACTAGAAAAAAAAGAACGGAACAGGAAGTTCTTTATTTATTGTACAACCATTATTCAAGCTTTGTCGGAATCGATTAGGAAATCGAATCGAATCGTCGTATTTTGCCTATTCCAAATTGATTATTATCATTGTTTAATGTCCGAATTTTCGTTGTCATCTATCCATTTGGAATGAACCTGAAATGAAATGAAATGGTCATGATCATTGATGCATTTATTTGTTCATTGTTCCATTATGAGAATCTGGTCCGTTCATTTCTGCTCTAATGGTCTAATTGTTTTTTTTTCGTTAAAATAATACAATCCTAAGATATGGTCATGGCATTGCCATCCTATGGTAACTACGAATGATCATCCATGTTTAAGCTTATGAAGATAAGCTATTGGTCAAGGCATTGTATAAAGAATTATCCACAAGAATCGATGATATAACATTGCTGATTGAATCTGTAACACGTTAATCTCGTTTGATTTATTTTCATGCAATTTAGGTGGTTGATATTTGTGACAATCAACCTAAATGAACATTCGAATATTCATTCACAGCATGAATCTATGTTTGTTTATCTATACGTATAATTGTACAGTTGATTTTGGTTCATTCGAACGATAATTTTGCTTTGTAATGAAATGAATTACTTAGTGAACAGGATTTTTATTTCCACCAATGATGATGACATTGATCATTTTTATTGATGGTGACCAAACACACGACGTGATTCGATTCGATTCATCGTCACTCATGGGCCTTTCATGATGTGCTTAGTACGAATCTCAACGATGATTTATTGAATCCATTCGATAATATTGCTTTTGGTGGTTATGGCGATAATAAAATCTTCATT